AAGTGAGATGGGAAAAAAATTCCAGGCAGAAGGAAGACAAGTCAATAGGCCTGAGGCACAGAGTAGAGGAGGGAAGGAAGCATAGAGCTGGTTAAATGTTTACTAGAATCTTCAACCTTCTGGAAGATAAGCATTATTATGTATATCCCCTTGTTTCAAGCTCTTTGTTCCAATAATATTTAAACTTCTGCTTTCTAACTTATCACTACCTAAGGACTGAGACACTAGTCATATCCAAAGCAATAATCTCAAAGGCTAAGAAGTTATGTTTAAATAATTGAAACTGTCCTCATAGACATCTTTCACCTCTTTGCATAGGTTTATTCATAGGTATTCTTTTTGTTGTTGTGATTACTGTAAGTGGGACTGCATTCTTCAATTTTGCCTCAGTCTAGTTATTGTTGGTGTATAAAAATGCTGTAGATTTTTGTATATTGATTTTTGTACCCTACCACTTTAAAGAATCCATTAATTATTTCCAGAGTTTTTTTGTATGGATTCTTTCAGATTTTCTATGTATGTAATCATGTCATCCTGCTCAATATATACTGAAGGTGTGGTAGAAATGGAGAGATTCAAAGATATAATAGTAGGGAGGGCAAATGTAAATACCAGAGGCTGTATGGGGGGGGTTGATTAGTACGGGAGGGACAGAGTCAAAGTTCTCTGTCAAAAATGATGGATATAATAATGTCCTTGATTTTATCATCACACACTGCCTGTGTGGTTTGAAAAACCATGTTGTATACTATAAAGATGTATTCAATACAATGACTGGGGCAGCAGGTGGCTTGGTGGTTAAGGTGCTGGGTGTCCACATGGTCGACTGAGCTTTGAGTCCCTAACCAGGTGACTTGAGTGTAAGATTGGATCCAGTATGTGTGTGCCCAGAGTCCCAAGACAAGAATGGAGAAGAAGGGATTGTGGGGTGTCTATCCCCCCTGGGGGGTGATCCCTCTCTCTGTATTGGTCTGTCTCTCTCTCTGGCAAGTACACAGGCTCTATGGCAAAGCCCTAAAAAGAAAAAAAAATATATATATATGATGGTTAAAAATAAATAAGAAATTATAAAATTAAAAAAATAAAAACTTTAATCAGAGAGATACTCTGGGTGTTGATAAAGCCAGGGCATTGCAGTAGCTGACAGGAGACCCTGCGGTGATTTGAACTTACTGACATCACAGCACTAATTCACCTTGCCAACCTGCCAGCCTCCATTGATTTTGTCTTAAGGCTGTCTCCTTTGTGAAATAAACCAGCTCTTTAAATATTAGATTTCACCTAAATTCCTCGATATCAGCTTATGTATTTATTTATTCTGGGTCCACCTTTGGCTGGTATATATTCTCCTCTGTCTCTAAATCCATGCCTTACTATGTCAGCTCTTCTGTGGGCCAGGTTCTCAGAGCAGGGCTCGGCTGCAAGGCCATCATGATGGAGGGAGGGACACTCCTGTGACCGTGAGAAGAAGGACAGGAAGGGTTTGCATTTGCTGGGGCGGCCATTGCAAAGGACCACAGATCCGGTGACTGCAGCAGAAGTGCTTCCTCGCACAGTCCTGGGGGCTGGGAGTCCCCAGCAGACTGTGGGCAGGTCGGGTCCCCCTGAGGCTGCTCTCCCCGACTTGCAGATGTCTTCCCCCTGTGTCTCATACGGCCTTCCTCTCTAACCATTTGTGTCCAACTCTCTTCTCCTTACATAAGAACACCAGAGGTAATGCATTAAGGTACAGACTAGTGACCTAATTTCAACTTAATTACTTCTTTAAAGACCTGAGAGCCCAATACAGGCACAGACAAAGGTACTGAGGGTCAGGACTTGAACATATGAATTGGCAGGGGGGAGAGTTCAGCCTGAAACAGCATGTAAGGCATTTCCTACTGTTTCTCTGCTGGGGATGTTTCCAGGGAAGTGGCTAATGCTCAGTTCACTCGGACACACATATTCGAAGGAGAGAGTCAGGAAAGGAAATAGACTTTCATTCTTCTCTTATAAACACCTTCATCTTCTCTTCCATTCTACCCTCGAGTCTCAGTTTAGAAATTTCTTCCAAATGACATAGACCCACTTCCTTTTTCCTTTTCCCTTTTTGTAAAGCAGGACACTTTGCTGGCTACAATTGTGCAGAATGCAAGTTTGGCTGGACGGGCCCCAACTGCGATCAGAAGAAAACTCCTGTTGTCCGGAAGGATATCCATTCCTTGACTTCTCAGGAGAGGGAGCAGTTCTTGGGTGCCCTAGACCTCGCCAAGAAGACCCCACACCCTGACTATGTGATCACTACTCAACACTGGCTGGGCCTGCTCGGGCCCAACGGGACTCAGCCACAGATCGCCAACTGCAGCATATACGACTTTTTTGTGTGGCTCCATTATTATTCTGTGAGAGACACGTTATTAGGTGGGTTTTCCTCTGGCATAAAGTGCATTAATAAAGGTTTGGGTTTCAGCGGGGGATTGGGCAAGGATGGGGGGTGGGAGTCGTTTCAGGCTAGTTAATTAATAAGAAAGCACCTTAAGGTAGGTTTATGAGAGCTGCAGAACGATCAAATGCTGTTTGAGGTTAGGATGGAGTCATCAGAATGTCTTCTTGTACATCGGCTGCAAACACTTTTAGTATTCTCTCCTCTAGTTTATGTTCTTGGTTCAAAGTTTAAGCTGTTTTTTCTATGAAGCTCTTAATCCGCTGAGGCATGGAGGCCATGTGGATTCCCTTTGATTCCAGAAGAAAACATTTTTTAAATCTGGCTGTGGAAGCCCTCCCTGACCTTTCCTTCAAATGAGAGGAATTAACGGAACATGTGCCAAAGCACATGAAGCGTCTTTGTGCAGTCAGTGTTCACGTTAGACACGTGTGTCTTGTTAAACTCACGTCTGTGGGCTGGCCGAGGATCACTTACATGCTCCTGCTCTGCAGTAGTCCTCAGGCTTGGTGGAGTTGTATGCTCAAGGGGAACAAGTGGAACCACAGCGATGTACCTGGGCACTTCAGAAAGGTCATGGAAACATGGGATTAAAGTGGGACCAGCAGATGGCATAGTGATTATGTCACTGGACTTCAACGTAGTCGACCATGGTCCAAATCCTGGATCTGGCAGCTTAAAAACTCTTGCTGGGCACTTGTGCATGCATGCCCAAGATCCTGAGAAGAGAATGGAGGAGAAGGGATTGAGGCGTGGCCATCCCCCCAGGGGGTGATTCCTCACTTTCCATCTCTCTGTGTCTCTCTGTCTCTCCAGTGAGCACACAGCCCTATAGCAAAAATTCTCTGAAAAACAAAATAAGCTTAAAGTATGAGTTTATGTTGGTGCAAAACTTTTTGAAAGCCATGCATGATTTTTATTTATGTACTTATTTTTTAAAGAAATAAGTACATAATTTTTGCTATAGGGCGTGTGCAGTCACCAAAGAAACAGAGAGAGACAGAAAGACAGAAAGTGAGAAATCCTCAGGGGGGATGCACATGTGACTGGCATGAGTTTGAAGCTGCTGGGCCTGAGACTCGAACCGTGGTCAACTACATGGGATTCCAGCGACATAACCATTACTCCATCTTGTGGTCCCCATACATATTTTAAAAATAATATTCTCCATGAACTCTTGGAGACCCCTTTGTAGAAGTCCTCCTACTCAACTCTTTGGACCATAGTTATGGCAGATGCTTGAGAAAATGGTGCCCTGCCCTTCTAGGTCTGAAAAATTGAGGCATAAATGGGGTTTGGAATGAGGGGTTGTCTGTTTTGAACTTTGTTGATCTAAAAGGCTTAGTGTCTTAGTTAATTCTTTTATTTTAACTTGCCAGAGGGTATGTACACTCATCGGAGAGAGATACAAAAAAAGAGAGGAAGGGAGAAAGCATCTCCTAATGGGGCATGGTCGTGCCTCCATCACTTCTCCATCCCGTTGGGTCAGACACGCATGCACACATGCCTGTGTGTTTTCAAGCCACAGGGGAAAGAATTTGAACCAAGGTCGGCCTTGTGGTATCTGGTTCCCTTAACCACTAGGCTATGCGGCTGGCCCTTGAGGGTTTTTTGTTTTTGTTTTGTTTTTGTCAGAGGAAAACAAAAACAAAGAGGAAAACTCGTTTGTTCTAGGAGGGCTTAAAGGCATCTTGAAGTTTCCTCTATAGCAATTCCAAATACTTGGCTATAGCTCTGACTGCTCCCACTTTGGGGTCTCTCACTGGAGTCAGGGTGAATGAAAATATCCAGTCCATGTTGAATAGTGAGCCTCACCTGGAATCACTAGTCCTTGGGTTTGTCACTTGTTCTCCATCTCTTTACGCCTCCTCATCATTTTGTTTTGAAAGCTTGAAATTTTGCTCTGGATTAAAACATTTTTAAAAAGACGGTATCACCAACAGCAGCAACAGCAGTTCTTTTCTCAGTGTGAATCTTTTTAAAACTTGCCTCACAGGTAAGCATCTGTCTTTCTTTATTGATAGATAAGGAGGCTCTTCTGGCTATAAACCTTTATAGTTTTCCTGTCATCACTCTGAGGAATTTTTGCTTTATGAGAGGGTAGTCTCTCAAGAGGAAAAGAAAACTATAGTTTTCGGTCATATCTAGGAATTAAATTTATATTCATGTCTGTTCAGCTCTCTGAAGTTATTATAGGTACTTTGAAAAAGAACTAAAGTTAGCTAAAGTTTCTACATAACCATCAAAAGCTGTTATGAAAGAGGGAAGAAGGATGGTACAGGCAATAGGAGGTCATTACATTGCCCAAAGCTTTTCACTAAAATTGGCAGTTCTAGTGGCCAGTCAAATTGGTTTGAACGTATTTTCTTCTCTTCTGGTCTTGGTGACCACGCTTGTCAGCCAGTAGTTGTAACTGATTGATGGGCATGGCAAAATCCCCGAAAGTTCTTTTCAGTTATATAAATGCTACAGTATGTAGTTGAAGTTGCTATATTGTTCATTAATTTTTCCCTTACCAATTTATATAGCTGTAAGGAATAGACTAGAAAATGTCTTTTAAAAATAAATTTCATTTGAGTCTTTTTAAAAAAGAATTGTTTAATTTTATTTACTGTTACTACTGTCTTTTAATTTGCTATAGGGCACATATACTTACCAGAGAGAGAGAGAGAGAGAGAGAGAGAGAGAAGGAGAGAGAGAGAGCCTGGGACTCAGAGGTTGGCCATGTGGAAGTCCAATGCTTTAATCACTATGTTACCTGCTGACCCCATTTAAGATTTAAGTTTTGGGTTTTTTTTTTTTTTTTAATTTTTTTTAGAGATTTCTGCTATAGGGCATGTGCTCTTGCCAGAGGAACAGAGAGAGACAGAGAAACAGAAAGCGAGAAATCATCTTGCAGAGAGGATGCCCATGTTGCACTCTCTCCTCCATTCTCCTCTTGGGATTTTGAACACACACACACCTGCACCAGGCATGAGTTTTAAGCTGCTGAGTCTAGGACTGCAACCGTGGTCAACTATGTGGGAGTCCAGCAATGTAACCCTTACGCCATCTGCTGGCCCCACTCATTTACGTTGTAATGATCTATTGTTTATACTGTTTTAATTGAATGAATTTTTGCTTAAAAATTAAATGTGTCACAGAAACTCTTAAGATTGAAAGTATCCTGAATTTTCTTGACTCTCTACTGGAAATCAATTTATTTTTTAAAAATTTATGGTTGGTTACTTACACTCAATCATTGTACATCTATAGCACATAATATGTCTTTCGAAGAATGTGTGCAGTTGGGACCAGCAGTTAGCATAGTGGCTATGTCACTGGACTCCCATGTAGTCGACCGCGGTTCGAGTCCCGAATCTGGTGGCTTAAACTCACGCTGGGTGCATGTGTGTGCGTGCCCAAGACCCTGAGAGGAGAATGAAGGAGAAGGGATTGCTGTGTGGCCATCCACCCTGGGGGGTGATTTCTCTCTTTCTGTCTCTCTGTCTTTCTGACTAGTACATGCACCCTTTGGGAAAAAAAAAAAACCTCTCCAAAAAACAAAACAAAAACAAAGAATGCGTGTAGTATGTGGCAAATAAATCAAGGACAAGCATAATTTTCAACAGAGAGTTTTACAGTCTTGTATCTGGACATCGAATTTTTAAGAGATGAGAGAGTTTATCCCAGAGGTGCTTCAGAAATTCTTTTGTCATTATTGTTGTTATTGCTTTTTGGAAAGATGAATAGCATTTTTTTTCCTTGCTAAAATGTCATAGAATTATTTGCTACAGCTATATCCCCAGATAGAGTTTAATATTTAATATTGCTATTCTCTGATCTCTAATATGTTTGCCAATTGTTTCAGGACCAGGGCGCCCCTACAAGGCCATCGATTTCTCACACCAAGGGCCTGCCTTTGTTACCTGGCACCGGTACCATTTGTTGTGGCTGGAAAGAGATCTCCAGGTTGGTCAAAACTATACATTTGGTACTTTCAATTTTTAAAAAATGACTTCATTGTATATATTTAATGTATAAGACATGGTTTTGATATACTCATCTTGATACACGTATACATAGTAATATGATTACTATAGTCAAGCAAATTAACACATCCAGCATCACACATTGGTATGTTTAATGAATTAATTAACTTGCAGTAGGAAACCTAAAATCTACTCTTGGCAAATGACCAGTATACAGTACAGCATTATTACCTACAGTGTTAAAATAGTGCATTAGATCTCTAGACTTAGTCAACTTTGTGCCTTTTGAGTCATACCTTCCCATTCCTCCATCCCATACCCCTGGAAACCATCATTTTACTCTCTAATTCTTTGTATTCAAAAACAATTTTTTTAAAAAAAATATGCTATACAAAAGTGAGATCATGTAATATATATGTCTTTGAGTGTCTGGTTTATTCTCCTTAGCATAATGTTCTCTAGATTCATCTATGTTTTTGAAAATGGCAGGATATTCTTTTTTAAGGATGAATAATATTCCTCTGTAAATATAAATATATCAATGTATTTATCCGTTCACCTGGAAGTTTTAATTTTTTTTAAGTTTATGAGAGAGAGAGAGAGAGAGAGAGAAGCACCCCAAGTAGGGTCCTCACATCATCACCCCTCCTGTTTCAGCCAGCCTGAGTCATGGGCACAGGTGCATGCTTGGGTGTGTAGAGGGGGATCCTGGGACATGATCCAGGGACCTTCCTATATGGGTCCAGTTGCACTACTGCTTAGCCACTTTCTGGCCCATGGTACTCTTAATCTTGCTCTACATTTGGTCAAACACACATCAGCCTTTGCCTCACATACTTATTTATTTATTTATTTATTTATTTGGAGAGGTTTTCGCTATAGGGCGCGTGCGCTCGCCAGACAGACAGAGAGAGACAGAGAGACAGAAAGCGAGAGATCACCCCCCAGGGGGGATGGTCACACCGCAATCCCTTCTCCTCCATTCTCCTCTCGGGATCTTGGGCATGTACGCACACACGCCCGGTGTGAGTTTTAAGCCACCGGGTCCGGGACGCGAACCGCAGTCGACTACGTGGGAGTCCAGCGACATAGCCATTACGCTAACTGCTGGTTCCCACATACTTTTTTATTGTATCTGGTGGTTTGCTTTAAATGACAAGGACTGTCCTTTGCTTTCAGCGACTCATTGGCAATGAGTCCTTCGCTTTGCCCTACTGGAACTTTGGCACTGGGAAGAATGAGTGTGATGTGTGTACAGATCAGCTCTTTGGGGCAGCACGACCAGAGGATCCAACCCTGATTAGTCAGAATTCAAGATTCTCCAGCTGGGAAATTGTCTGTGACAGGTAATGACATGTGTACCTGAAATGCAAATCTGGAGGCCATCTTTGCTTTTCTCTGTGAGATGGAGAAGCCACTTTCTCTTTCTAAAGCACACAGGGTTTTGTTTACATTTCTGAAAATAATGTTCCCATGAGAGGTTACATTTTAAAATTTGAGGGACCAGCAGATGGCATAATGGTTATGTCACTGGACTCCCATGTAGCCAACTGCAGTTCGAGTCCTGGACCCAGTGGCTTAAAACTCATGCCAGGCATGTGTACGTGTGTGCCCAAAATCCCAAGAGGAGAATTGATGCCTTGGAGGCCTTTTTGTGTCCTAGTGTTTAGGTCCCAGCATCCTCCATCCTCGTGCATGTGTTGATTCTATTTTCATGTACCCAGTATTACCCCTCATCGGAGAAACCCCACATAGTAACATCTTTAAAGTTTTAGCTCTCCTGATAAAATAATGTTCTGAGGGAGGAATTCCGGGCTGCCACAAACATGGAGGCTATAATGTTACAAGGGTGTGGAACTGTCTCAGACTCATGTTTACCACATACTTTTGCTGTCTTGAAACACTTTCCAATATAGTGTTTCTTCTACTATGTCTCCTAGCTAGTTTTTTCTGTTTGTCCCTCCTCCATTTGCCTCCAATGTTTTCCCAGCTTTTCACAGATACTTCTACTCAAACTTGCTTAGCTCAGCTTACTATGGGCCACCCAGTTTTTTTCTTGAGTCAGTCAAGATCCAAGTGCACAGTCTAAGTGCACAGTTTACCTTGTAAACCCTCTCACCTTCTTTCTAATGGAATGATAATGATTAGTCACATGTATGCCTATATTGGTATTTTATGCATCTATATTTTTGAAACTTCTTGATTCAAAATTACTTTCAGAAATAGTCGCTTTTACCACTTATATTTGACCCTCGTAAGGTAATAGTAATAAAACTGTACAATGACTATGACCTTGACTGGTTTGTTTGACCCAAATTTATGATACCATCCATAAATTAATACATAGTATTTAAAAGTGATTTTTAATCTTTTTACAAATCTTAGCTTGGATGACTACAATCGTCGAGTCACCCTGTGTAATGGAACCTATGAAGGTTCTCTAAGAAGAAATAGAGTGGGAAGAAATAATGAGAAATTGCCAACCTTAAAAAACATACAAGATTGTCTGTCTCTCCAGAAGTTTGACAACCCTCCTTTCTTCCAGAACTCTACCTTCAGTTTCAGGTTGGTGCTCTGAACCCTGCTGATCAGCATTCACAATCCTTTTAGATGTTCTAAACTCTGTAGTTGTAATGAACTAGGAAATCCAGGTGTTGGGAGTTATCTACAGAGTCAAGTAATGAGGAGGGCTTTGATACAAGAAGTTAACAAGAGACTGATGTTACATAAGTCATCATTCATCCACTATAACTAACAGTGTAGTTTTATTATCTTCTAACTCAATTGCTGAAAACCATCTTTTGCATTTTGAAGTTCCACACATGTATTTGTAGTCTTTGGAACCAGAGTGCCTTGTTAAACATATTGGGTTGTTGGCAAAGTCATGACACATTTTTGCATAGAAAAACAGAAAAATACATCATGACTTGGCCAACAACCCAAGAGTACACTCATGTGTAGTTTATCAGGGGATACATTCTGAGAATTGTGATTTCAGGTGTGATGTCATTGTTGTGTGAACATCACAGAGAATACAAACAATACTTACACAACCTAGATGGTAGACCCTACCGTATACCTAGGTTATATGTATAAACTATTATAATTTTATTGGACCACTGTTCTACATATGATCTATTACTGCTATAAGGTTTATGTATTTGCTGAAGATAAACAGAGGGAGAGAGAGCATGAGAGAGAGAGAGGTGAAGTGAGAAATCATCCCCGTAGAGAGTGGGGATAGGCATGTAACAATTCCTTCTCCATCTTCTTCTCAGGATTTTGGGCATGCACACACATGTGCCCAGTATGTCTTTCAAGCCACAGGGTCCAAGACTTGAACAGCTCAGTAAACCATGTGGGATCCAGCTACCTTAAACTCCATGTCACCTGCTGTTTCTGTTACTTTTAAAATGCCCATGCACTACCCTTTTTTCCTAAGTGTTGATGTTAGAAGTATATCAGTCATAAATTTTAATATCAGGGTCTGAGATCTCCGAGAAGTATAGCAGACTAAAGTCACCTTGAGTTATAGAACACTAATCATTTTATTCTACCAAAAATGTCTTTTAAGAATGATGAGACATATGTATATAAAGAAATATTTCTAAAATAAAGGTTTAATCCCAAACCAGATTCTCTCTTAACTATATTAAATCGCACAGTTTGTATGGGGCTGGGGGCAGGGTAGGCTGACCTTAAATGTCGAGTTGATGCTCAATATAGTGGGCTCAGAGTCTGTGCTGGGGTTGGACACAGTCCTTAGAGTAGTGTCAAAGGCAGGTAAAGAGTGACATTTAAGATCGTTTTGGAAATGCACATGCCTCAGTGTTTCATTATAATAAAAATGCTACTAGAGCAGATTGTATTCCCTATAGATTTCAGTTGTGTGGTTCTCAAAACATGGTGCCACTGTGACTAGCATCATCTGGGAGTTAGAATCTTTTCTGCATTCATTGAATCAGAAACTCTGAGAGTGAAGCATGAAATATATTTTTTTCTCCAGTGATTCCAAGAAATGCATAAACTTCAAGATCACTAAGTGAGGATCTAGATGCTTAGAATTTCCTGAAAATGGAGCAGAGAAAAGGGAGAAGGCAATGGGAAATTTGGGGGATATGTTTAGAATGCTGAATATATTACAGTCAAGCTGGAGGTTAAGAAATTTGAGTTAAGAAATCTGAAAATATGAATGTCTGAGAGTGAAGATGAAATATAATTTTTTTCTCCAGTGATTCCAAGAAATGCATAAACTTCAAGATCACTAAGTGAGGATCTAGATGCTTAGAATTTCCTGAAAATGGAGCAGAGAAAAGGGAGAAGGCAATGGGAAATTTGGGGGGTATGTTTAGAATGCTGAATATATTACAGTCAAGCTGGAGGTTAAGAAATTTGAGTTAAGAAATCTGAAAATATGAATGTAAAATGACATGTTAATTCAAAAAACATTTATTGATCACTGACTTCGTGGTGGGCATGGTACTGAGCCCTGACAATCTTGGCCATGGAGAAAACTTAGACCCTACTCACTCAATATAAACACAAGTAATTGCTATACAGTACGCAAAATACATACATCAGTTAAGCAGGCACAGAAATAGTATTGATTGGGGCCGGCAAGTGGCATGGTGGTTAAAGGCACTGGACTCCCACATGGCTGACCACAGTTCAAGTCTCGGACCTGGTGGCTTGCTTTCTCACTTCCTCTCTCTCTCTGTCTCTCTCTGATCAAACTAGAAAATAATAATGATAATAATAATAAATAAAGTTAAAATAAAATCATTAAAAAAAAGAAATAGTATTGATTGATAGTTCTCTCCTCTTACAGAAGATTATCATCAAAGGTTGGGGCTAATTCTTAGATAATGAGCTATGATGGAACTTTCCATATACATACCCAATATCAAATTAAAAGACTACTGTCCGGGCTGGAAAGACCAAGAAAGAGACCTTTATGAACCTTTGACATATTGCTTTCTCCCAGGAATGCTCTGGAAGGGTTTGATAGAGCAGACGGGACCCTGGATTCTCAAATGATGAACCTTCACAACTTGGTTCACTCTTTCAACGGGACAAATGCTTTGCCACATTCAGCTGCCAATGATCCCATTTTTGTGGTATGTTCACAAACTCACATTAGAACTATTCTAGATAATATGTTGAATTTGCTAATTTCAATAAGATTAAGGTTTGGTGCTGTTGTATCCTCCATGTGAACAATGTGATATATACATATGTAAGTTAATTTTAATCTACACACAGGGGTGATTAGATAGCATTTGAAGCTTCTAATCAGAAAACCATGCTACAAGGACTGTTAGCTTTTGGATGACTTTAGATAGGAGTTTACAACCCACAGGTGAATTCATACATTAGCATAATGATGAATAATTTTAAATTGGCAAATAAGTGGTATATTAACATGCACAGAAACCACCTTCAGTGTATAACCTGCAGGAAGGAAATTTCTGTTAGCTAGAAAAGGGGAAGAAAAGAGAGAAGGGATGCTGGACAAAAATGACAAATTCCTTCAATGATGGCAAATAAAAAACCATCGTGTTTGGTGGTGCTTAATTTGATAATCAACTTCTTACCTCTGAGTTGTAATAGAGCCAGTAGAGAAAATTGATATTGACTGTGAGGAGCCTAAAGTTCTTTAAAATTCAAAGCGTGATGAACTCTACTATAGTGGGGATGTTCCACCAGAATTAGCATGTTGGGACTTGGTTATATTGTAAAGGTGTTAAGGGGAAACTTAATCCCTTCATGGTGTCTTGGGAGGGGGCCAGAGCATGTGATAAGATAATAGACATGGGGGCCCTATAATTGAGTTCTGATGGGTTTAAAAGAAGTTGAAATAAGACCAAAAAAGATAGAAATTTATGGACAGCTTCTCTGCTTAAGATCCTGTCATCTGCCAAGTGGTAGCTTCACCAGAAGTTGGACCTTGGACCTCCAAACCATGAACCAAATAAATATCTATTCTTGTGAATCATCCAGTTTCAGGTGTTTCTGTTAGCAATGCAATAGTAGACTGAGACAAACTCCCTTGGTTTATTTGAGTCTGATTTCTATCTCACTTTCAAACAAAAAAAATTGCACAAAGCTTACCAATGGGATTGTAAATTTTAGAATCCTAAGCTTTGTAAGTTTCAAACATATATGCACTAGGGAACTCTCCTGAGACAAATAAAATGGGGGACGCCCAGTGAGGACTTCATTCTTCAGCTTCTCTGAGTCAATGCCTGGCAGTCAAAGACTTCTAGGAACATAGCTGTAGTTGAACATGTTAAATTTATTCCTCTTTGCAGGGTAGCAATGGAGGCCCACAGACAGTCCCAGTCAATGGGTGTTAGAAAACACTGAAGGGATTTACTGAAGACTGAAAGGCGATTTGAAGGAGGGTTCAAGGAAGCTCTGTTTCACATCACATGCCATTAGGAAGCAGGAGTAATTCTATGACCGGGTATTCCAATAATTCTATAGGGTGGGCAGGCTAAACTGAGGTTAAAGCTGTAGTTGGTAAAGCAACAGCATTTCCTCATATTAGCTGAGACAGGGAGGCCAGGTATTTTGTGGCTTGGAAGTTCATATTTTGTCTGTGCTCAAAATTGTTTATGGAATTATCTTGTTTTTGTCCTGATGCATTATGATCACAGAGAGGTCTTGTCTGATATTGATGGTCTATGAAATTATTTATTTCCAGCAGGAGGACATCAAGACCTGGTTTATAGCCTCAGCCCAGCTCTTGGAGGTCAGGGGCTATTTTGCTTCTTTTTCAAGTACAGCTCACTAATGTTGGCACAGGAGGTTTAAACAACGTAAACATTCATCTTTCTGCTGCTGAGCCCCAACAGTGTTTCTGCTTCACAGACACTGATGTGGGTCAGATAATGGTTTGTCCTCCAAAGGTGCATGTTCTGAAATTTGGTCTCCAGTGGAATGGAGGTATAAGACCCCAGTGTTGGGAGATGTAAGACCCTTAAGAGCAGATGCCTAGAGGATGGTGACTGGATCATGAGTCATCATTTTAACTCTCATAAAGGGATTAATGATGTCTCACAAGATCTAGTAAGTTTCAGTTCTTGTTAGAGGAGTTTGTTCTTGTGACAATGGGTTATTATGAAAGAAGGTGGCCTGTCCTAGACTCTTGCTCTGCATGTCCCACCACCTTCTCTGCCTCTGCCTGCCATGCTGTGACGTAGCAGACTGATGCCAGACTCATGCCTTTGGACTTTCTGGTCACTGAAATCATGAGTCAAATAAACCTCTATTCTTCATAAAGCACGCGGTCTCAGATATTTCTGTAAGTAACAAAATAGCAGACCAAGGCAGATACTTAACATATTAATACTTCAGTCTACTTAAAGCAGTCTATTAAAGCAATTCTTAACTGATTCCAGTTTTATGTCTTACATAAATGGTTTTGGAACAATTACAAGAAGAAATTTCACCTTATCCTTTTTTATTTTATCAGTATTTTGAGTTTATATTATTTTTCAGTTTAGATTATACTATAGTCAAAAACATTATTTTTTCCCCAGAATTTTTCTCACCCTCAATGTTATTCTTAGCAATGTGTCTTAGTCTGCCATAACAAAATACCATGGACCAGATGGCTTGGACAAGAGAAATTTCTATATCACAGTTATGGAGGCTGAGGGGGAAGTCTAAGATCAAGGTGTCTATTGATTTGGTTTCTGATGAGGGCTTTCCTTCTTGGCCTTCTAGCTATGTCCTAATATAGTGGAGAAAGAGGAGTGAATGGCAGTGGTGTAATGGCTATGTCGCTGGACTCCCCAGTAGTCGACTGAGGTTCAAGGCCCAGACCCGGTAGCTTAAACTCATGCTGGGCGTGTGTACGTGCATGCCCAAGATCCTGAGAGGCGAAGGGAGAAGAAGAAATTGTGGTGTGGCCATACCCCCTGGGGGGTGATTTCTCACTTTCTGTCTTTCTGTCTCTCTGTCTTTCTGGTGAGTGCATGTACCCTATAGCAAAAACCTCTCTAAAAAAAGAAAAGAAAAGAAAAACAGATTTTTGTTATGGTGCATGTGTGCTTGCCAGAGAGGCAGAGAGACAGAAAGCAATTAATCACCCACTGGGGGGATGGCCATGCAGTAATCACTTCTCCATTCTTCTCTCAGGATTTTGGGAATGTATGCACACATGCCCAGTGTGAGTTTTAAGCTGCCTGGATCTGGGACTTGAACTGTGGTAGACAATGTGGGAGTTCAGTGATGTAACCATTATGCCATCTGCTAGTCCTATTTGTGATTCTTTAAACTGTTTGCTTTGGGGCCAGCAGGTGGTAATAGTGTGGTTAAGGCCCTGGACTCCCACATGGCTGACTGAGATTGGCATACCCGACCCAGTGTCTTGAAACTCACATCGGGCATGTGTGCTTATGCCCAAAATCGAGTTAGGAAAATGAAGGAGAAGAGATTGAGGTGTGACCATTCCCTTGAGTGGTAATTTCTTGCTTTTCATTTTTCTTCCCCTCCAGTGAGCACATGGGCCTTATAGCAAAAATCTCTTAAAAAAAAAAAAAAAGATGTCTGCCTTGTAATATGTTATTCAGATCATGATATTTCAGATCATGTTTCTGTCTATTATCTCAGCCTCTCAGCCACCAGTTCAACCACTTTTAGTGTCTGCCTTCTCTGCCATCTCTCCATCCATCTACACTACTGCGTCCTTGGAAAAGTCATAGCATATATTTTCTGTTTTTCTATGTAAAAATGTGTCATGATTTTTCCAACAACCCAATATATGTCTCTAAAAACACATATTTTCAACCTTATAATTTGTATATATAATCTATATTCAGAAGGAAAAATTACACAGTACTCTTTACCCAGTAGTCCAAAATATTTTGAGTGGAATAGAAGAATCCTCTGCAAGTTGAACACGAAATCCCAAACCTTTGAAATAATAACAATGTTAATAATCTGATTTTTAGCATCCTGAATGCTGTGTCAGAATGTGTTCCCCCATAATTCATGTATTGAGATCTGGTGTGCCATCGTCATGGTGCTGAGAGGGTGGATGCTTAGTGTCATTATAGTGTTGAAGGGTGGAGCCTTTGGGCAGTGATTAAGCATCAGAGTGGACCCCCCATGCTTAAATAGTTGTGAATGTGTAAGTCAATACAGATACAGACACATACTTTATTCATTCGCTGCTCAAGATCTCTCCATGTTATACTTTCTGCCATGTTATCCACCAGCAAGACAATCCTCACCTGATGTGGCCCCTTAACGCTGTTCCTTGAAAGTTGTGAGTTAAATAAACCTCTATCATAAATCACACAGTTTCCAATATTCCATTATAAATTGCCTAGTCTCCAAGATTACAATAACCTTACCTTCTACTTTTGAGGCGGAAATGAGTATATATATATATTTTTTCTATAAATGGCCATATAGCAAATATTTTAGCCTTTGGGGACCATCTGGTCCCCAACTACTCAACTCTGTCACAACTACTAAACTCTGCCAGTGTAGCGTGAAAGCAGCCATGAATAATACATAAATGGTGTGGTTTCTGATAAAACTTGATTTACAAAAACAGGTTGCAGGGACCTAATTGATCCTCATGCTTTAGTTTGCAAGCCCTGCTCTAAGGGATCAACGTCCTTCAGTGAAGTAGAGCTAGGTCTTTGGTCATATTTCTCTTCCTGATCTAGCAGGAATCCTACATTACGACTGTATGGATGAGGAATTGGTAAATTGCACGTGGTTCAAAGATAATGGATATTTAATCAACTTTGTCTTCACTACTTTGACTGTTTTTAACATTTAAAATATGTTTTTCTTTGGTAATATGTTATCATAGGCATATAAACAAAAGCTAGCCTTTCTCTGAAGACAGAAGGAATAATGTTTTGGCACTAGTTCTAGAACTCACAATTACTGTAGGCTATTTTCAGAGTTTTATGTTGAAGCCAGTTCAGCTTTCAATGTTTTTTTCCTGCACCGAGATCCAGGTTAAAGCATTTCAGTTAACAGAGTTATAGCATCTGGAATTTCAAATTCATGAGGCAATTCATGCAAATATATTGCACATGACATTTATTAAGATTATTTTTTGTGAAATCTCTTCAAGCAATAGAGGTCC